GTCGGAGTCTCTGCTTTCAGTTCTTTTGGCAATTGCTGGATCATAGGGTAATTCTATTCCTGCCCCACCTCTGAGCCTCTCCTTTAATCCTCTCCCTCAATCAAAACACATTTATCATCTGTCTTTTTCTGCAAGAAGATGCTGTCAGAAAACTGTCACTTGCAAAGCATCTAATCACGACAATGTATTAATTGCCAACAAGGTGGACCATACATATTACCCTTCCTTGAGGCATCTGCATTTTAATAGAACATCTTAAGGAAAAGGAATGACTTCCTGAAAGCAGCAACAGGCTAGTGTTAGTACATGGAACACTGAGGGCCAAGGTGAACAAAGATTTCTAAGGAACTGTGGTTATACTATTTTTGTTTTTCTCTTTTTTCACTCCCCAGAATATAAACTCTTCCCTTCTGCTGTCTTCCCAAGCCCTACCCTGTTGCCCTTTCTGCTGTATTTCATCTCCCATCAAGAATCACTCCACTATAAATCTTCTCAACAACCCTCTCTGGGATCCTTCCTGCCAGCATTGTGCTTAGATGCTGGGCAACAGGGTGAACTAAATAGCCAGGGGTCTCACAGAGCCAGTGTGGTCAGCCCCAACATCTTCCGTCTTAGGCCTATTTCTCTCAGAAGGTTTTCAGCATCTTTTATTAACAGTCCAGCAATCTTTCTGGGCTCAAGGGCTCAGAGTATCTCAGGCTTGTTTCACCAAGTCCCACTTACTATGTATCATCATAGTGTCCTTTCTTCTACTCCATTCCTACTAGACCAAACTATACAGCCCCCATACCATGACCTCTTGAGCTCCACTGCCTCCCATCAAGTTGCAGCAGTCTCCCTGCACCTTCAGTCTGTGCCCACCACGTGCCAGAGCTCTCCACCACCTACAGGATGAAATTAAAATCCCTCAGCCTAACTCTCAGAACTTGATTCCAACTCACCTTTCCAGCTTTACCTCCCACCACTCCCCTTAATGTACCCCTATCAAACTGTTTCCTGACAGAGCCTGAAATATTTCACCTGTGCCTTTGTGCGCTTAATCCCTCTACTCAGATGCCTCCCTCATTCTCCCTTTCCTGTGAGCTCCCATGGCCCTGTATCTCCACCAGCACTACAGCATGTCTCTCTCTGACCTTGGCTTACGAAAATCTGTCTCCTAACAGCTATAAAAACTCACCTTGTCCTCTCCAGCCATCCATCCCCTTTTCTCAGTGCCCCAGCCTCCCAGTGCTGTGAAAGCACTGCTCTCTTTGACCCCACACTTTCGCATATGCTGGCCACACAGGCTGGAACCCCACATACGTACATACTCAACAGCTCAACCTCCTCACGATTTCATCAGTGCCTGAGAATCCTTGATTCTACACTTCCCTTTTACCATCTCGTAGTATGTATATCAGTTTGCAATGATAAATATCCATTTGATTATTACATTTATTATTTTGTTTCTCATTAAGTTATTCAACTACTTGCTTTCCACCCCATACCCAGAAGGCAGTGACTCAGCCTGTAATGTTCACAATTTTAGTCCCAGTGCCCAGCTATATGTCTGGCACATAACAAGGGTTAAAAGATTTGTTTATTTTATTAGTTGATTAATTCACATTTTGCTCTTTGTACCTCAGTCTGTCGCCTAAAAAGGTGGGTACTCATGAAGCCTGCACTTAACTCTGACCTCTTCCCTCCCTTCTTCCCTGTCTTTCCTCCCTCCATCCGCTCCTTCACCATCCCCTTTTTTTTTGAGACAGGGTGTCACTATGTAGTTCAGGCTGGCCTTGAACTCACTGTGTAGCCCAGGCTGGCCTTGAACTCAAAGTGATCCTCCTATTTTAGCCTTCTGAGTGCTGGGATTACAAGCATGTGCCACCACACCAGGCTTCCTCTACCTCTTTCTGAAAAAGTGAAGACAGTGACAGGGAAGAAGAGGATAACTGGGAGAAGGTGTTCTGAGAAATGATAAAACACAGAAGCTTCAAAAAAGAAGACTATCATTAGTAAGGTAACATACTGCATCAATATAATAAGAACAAGATGACTGCTGTTTTAAAAAAGAAACTGTCAGCTGGGAATGTAGCTCAGTGGCACAGCATCTGCCTGGCAAGCATGAGTCCCTGAATTCAATTCCCAGTACCATAAAAAAGGAACTGTCAAAAACTTTTTCTTGAAAATAAAAATTAAGATAGCCAAAATAAATAATTCAAGAGAAAAAATGGAAAATAAAATGGAAGGAAAGTCTCAGAAAGTAGAACACAAAAGCAAAACCGATGATGATAATGATGGTAATATTTAAAACCAACATGTAATAATTACCATGTGCCAGACAATGAATTAAGCCTTAAAACTACCCTATAAGGAAGGAACTATTATTATCCTCAAAGTGGAAAATAAAAAGATAAGAAAATTAAAGGATCAATCTGGGAAATTCAACAATTGACTAAAACAATCTGCTTTCAGAAAGAAACAAAGAACAATGGAAAAGAAATCACAGGCACACATCAAAGAAGTGAAGGATACAAGTCCTCAAAATGAAAAGGTCCACCAAGGAAGAGAACAGAACCCTCTTCTTTGAGAAATCCATGTAGAAATATTGACAGATTGAATTCCTGGGGGGGGCGAGGGGGCCTAAAAGATCATAACCAGGTTTTTGGCCACAGATTTGACTACTCAAAGACAATGTGCTCCTTGGATCACTGTGAGTTCGAGGCCAGCCTGTGCTACACAGTGAGTTAAGGGCTAGCCTGAACTATAAAAGGAAATCCTGCCTCAAGAAAACAAAACAAAACAAACAAAAAAATCCAACATCCTCCTTGAAGAATCATTAGCCTCTAGAATAATCAACATGACAAAATATAATCCTATGTAAGATTCAGTGACTTAACAGAGACTCCTCTACCATTCTAGCTGATAAAGAAGTTAACAAATGCTGAAAACACGTATCCTTTGCCCTCAAAGCAAAATGTTTGTTTTGTTTTTAAATTAAAAAATCATAAAAATCTAAGCTATATACCTGTATCTGTGACATGCTAACATTATTTCCCCTTCACATTATAATACACTGATATGTACATATGTACAGATATATACAGCTATGTATCTCATAATGTGATAAAGGCAAAAATACAGAAAAGGATTACTACTGCAAAATAAAAATATAGTGTTAGTAACTGAATGTTCAAGCTGGCAGCTCTCTGAAAGCTGAAACTGTCAGGCAAGGAGAAATTAGTAAAATAAATTACACCACTTTCCACAACGCTTCTCAGAATATTAAAAAGATGTGTTGACATTTAATAAAACAATTTGTATTGCTTCATCAAGGATTCTTAAGTGAAACTGACTTTTCTCCTTAATTGTGAGTATATGGCAATGAAGAACACAAGAACTCTTATAACAGTTGGGTGCTACTATCTTGCTGGGTGCCAAGTTCCAGAAATTCTCCCACACTGCTTTTTCACATTGAGGACAAATATTGATATAATGACAAAGGCAAAAAAATCTTAGTATTATTACGAAAATAAGTCTGACCTTGTGGATTCCCCTGAAAGGGTCTTAGGACTCTTAGGTACCCAGGGGCTATACATTGAAAATAATTGTTCCAGGCAGAACATGTGCAAAACTGGTGCATAATTACCATCACTTGAACATGTTAGCATATTTATTCTTTTTGCAAATATTAACTGTGCCAGACTGGTATCAATGGACTGAATATACAAGGCTCCTGGTTCTAAAGGGAAGAAACAACTTAGAAGTTAAAAATAATTGAACAAGTTAATTTCAGATGCTCATAAGAGCAATGAGGAAATGAAAGGGAATGCCAGATAAAAATAGGACGGCCATTTAGAGGGTCTCACTGAATTCCTAACATCTAGACTGAGACTTGAATAACAAGAAGGAATGACCCATCCAAAGAGGTAAGGCAAGAATGTGAAGCTTCTATGACAGGAACAAGCTCTGCCAGTTCCAGGAATACAAAGGCCAGTGTGGCTGGATGTAGAGTAGAAAGGGGAAAAGTTTAAGACAAGGTCAGGGCATTGTCCAACCACAAAGAGCCTTAGAGATCAGAACAAGAATTTGATTTCACATCTAAACACAAGGAACAGGCCACAGTGTTTTAAAGAGAATACTATAATTCCATATTTATTCATTTAAGGAAGATCATTTGAGTGCTGTGTGAAGTGTGGACTGCAGCTGAAGGAGTATACAAGCCAGAAAACAATTAAGAGACTACTCTGGTCCAGGAAAGAGACAATGTAGAAATTGCCAAAATGTACCCCCATTGCCTTAATGTACCCCTATCAAACCGTTTCCTGACAGAACCTGAAATATTTCACCTGTGCCTTTGTACGCTTAATGTAGAAATTGCCAAAATTTCCACAATAAGTAGAAAATGTGGAGGTAGAGTGACAGGGCTATGAAAGAAAGGAAAAACATTAAGGATTAATACTAGGTTTTCAGCTTAAAGAAATCAGGTAGAATGGTGGTTCCATCTACAAACATGAGGAAGACTGGAAGAGGAGCAAGTGACAGTGGAGTGGAAATCAAGATTTTTACAGATGCATGTTACCTTAAGACATCTGAGTGGAGGTAACAACTACTCACTGACAGTAACATAAAAACAGTAATAACTATATTTTACATATGCACAACATGCCAACCAAAATAACATAAAGAAAAAAATCCAAGCTGGGCATGGTGGCACACATCAGTACTCTGGGAACCTAAGGCAGGTGGGTTGCAAATTCGAGCCCAGTATAGGCAACTTAGTGATTTGGCAAGACTCTGTCTCAAAATTAAACAAAACAACAACCACAATAAAAACCAGCCTTGGATGTACCCAAAAGGCCCTTGGTTCAATTTCCAGTATGTGTGTATTTATTTATATGTATATACATATATATATAAAAGACCTGAATCTGTTCTCCCTACTCAAGGAAACCCATACAGATAATAACAGTGACAACATCAGCATTACAAAGTGACGGTCAAGGTAAGTGCCACTTTACCAAGCTGGTTCTTCATCCCCATGAGCACGGAGTTCATGTGAGCTTTGGATACATACAGCTTGCTCACAGTCTTCCTTGACCTGATCATCTCCTTGGCCAGAACCACACAGACATCCTTCTGGCCCTTCTTGGCAGCATCTTTCACAGACCGTTTCACTTTCTCTTCTTCTCTCTGGATATCTACATTTAGAATACCAAAAATCAAGAGTAAATCAGACTTTCCAGAACCCCAACCTCTTTATTGTGATCTAAATGTGGCTACTAAATAGGAAAAAATATTAGAAGATATAAATGAAATAAAAACAATTAACATGGGGAGTAATCATTATTTCCAGAAACATCAAAGTAGTTTAAGAGTAAAAAAGAATGCCTGTAATCCCAGCAGTCAGGAGGCTGAGGCAGGAAAACTGCTGTGAGTTCGAGGCCAGCCTAAACTGCATAGTGAGATCTTGTCTCAAAAAAAAAGAAAAAGAAAAAGAAAACTATGTTATTATGCTATTATATTTGACATAATTTCAAAAACAATGTTTGTGAGCCCATTCTAAAATTTACTGCTACTGTTACTAAGGAGCTTAAAAAATGCATTCCAGAGCTTGCTCTAATAAGTGGCATTCTCACAATTAAATGAGTACAATTCTGTGTTTAGTCAATAATAGCTTATAAAAAACTGCAGTTAAAGAAAGCCTAAATATACTAAAAGTATCATATAAGCATCAACTAGAAGTAAAATGGTACATATGCTGTATGATCAACAGGGTTTTTTTCAATTTTAAAAACTGTAGTAATATACACACAACAAAATTTACCATCATTCTTTTTCTTTTCTTTTCTTTTTTTATTGTGGTACTGGAGATTGAACCTGGGTCCCCACACATACTACATAAGTGCTCTATCACTGAGCTACAACCCCAGACCTTTTAAAGACACAGTCTTGCTAAGCTATACAAGCTGGCTTCAAACTCATGATCTTTCTGCCTCAGCCTCCCAAGTACCTTGGATTGCAGAATTGCACCACCATGTATGGTTTAAGCATTGTTAAATGTACAACTCAGAGGTATTAAACACATTCATATTACTGTGTAACCATCACTATCATTCATCTTCAATACAGTGAGCCTACCACACTCTTGTAATAGCTTTCCATGTGCTACAATACAAAAAGCATCTCCAAGCAGAAAGCAGGACCATTTCAAAGCTGTTTCCCTTCTCTCAAGAATCACAATCCAAAATGTCCTATAAGGCCCTGTGTACAATCTCCAGCAAGGAAAAAAAAAAGAAAAGAAAAAAACCATTTAATTTAGAAATGTATTTTCTTCAATTTACAGTCATGCTAAGATATGCAAATAGAGTAGCAAAAATGGAACTGCATTCCTTATGCACAATTTATTCAGTCTGAACTCCATAAAACATATTTCTTTATTAAACTCCATAATGAAGACATTTCTTTATTCAGTAGAAAGAAGTTTCTTTGGTTCTTACAAAAATTTCTTTTAATTTATTACCTTTCTTGACTATAGAACTAGAAAGCAAAGTAATTAGGACAGCTATAAATAATTAATGTGGGAATAAACTATGTCATACATTTAGATGCAGTTTATTTTTAATGAACTAAAGCAGAATATACCAAAACATTGTAGAATAGAAGACAAAGAATGATAATTTACCTCTTATTTGTCTGTCAACAACTCTCATTTCTTTTCTTATCTTCAATGACCATTCATTGACCTGGGAAAAAATTTAAGAAAAGTAATTATAAAAGAAGCCACTACTTGGTCAATCATAAAGAACTTTGTATTAATTCTACATTTAACAAAATTAAGTAACGCAATAAGCTTTATGGCTCCCCACACCCCCAGCCCCGTCTCTTTATTCACACTGCACAAGAAGTTCCAAGCTATTCAAAGACACATAGCTGAAAGCAGGCTACGAAGTCCTTACCTAAGATTTCAGAGGAAGCATGCTACCCTGCAAGGACACAAAGACTTTTCAAGAGGTGCATGAACAAAGATAGTTTTAAGGGTATCGAAGATTTGCATCTTTTACATATAAACATATCAAAAACTACTCTGGCTATATCATGAGGAGTCATCTTTCCTTTCTCCCTTAACAATAATGCTTTGGGGCCGGGGATTTAGCTCAGCGGTTTCGCTGCCTGCTGTGCAAGCGCAAGGACCCGAGTTCGATCCCTGGTACCAAACAAAACAAAACAAAACAAAAAAAACCAATAATGCTTTTGCATTTTACAAAAGATATCCCCCTACCCACATATACTTGCCTGTCAGATAAAAGCCTCTGAATCACTAAACACAGAGCAAACAAAAAATACTGGCATAGTTATTGAGAAAGTTGTAAATAACTACAGTGATTACCAATTAATTATGTAAGTAAACTGTTTTTCAATTCTTTGCTTTTCAAAATGTTAAAGGAAAACCTGAGTTGTCAGCTGATTAATCATTTAAAGTAAACTTTAGGGGCCAGGGATTTAGTTCAGTGGTTCCACCTGCCTCGCAAGCGCAAGGACCCGAGTTTGATCCCCAGTACCAAAAAAAAAAAGTAAACTTTATACTGAATCACTGTTTTTTTGGCACATGACTCAGAAGTAATTCAAAGACCTTGGGCAGGGGATTTAGCTCAGTGGTGCTGCCGCGTGTCTCGAAAGCACAAGGTCCTGAGTTCGATTCCCGGTACCAAAAAAAAAAAAAAACAAAGTAAGACGCAAAGACCTGAGTGACACTGCTGTAACAAAACTTCTATTAGCATCTACTTATTTATATAAAAGAGCATGTATGTGTAATAAACAAAATAGGAATGAATATAAGTGACATGAGCCCTACATTTACCCATGGAGCAGCATTCATTCATCTATGGACACATGAACTACAGGCCTTAAAGAATCTGTATTGTTGGGCTGGGGATTTAGTTCAGTGGTTTTGCCACCTGCTGTGCAAGTGCAAGGATCCGAGTTCAATCCCCGGTACCAAAAAAAAAAAAAAAGAATCTGTATCGTTAAGATATATTTCAATAAATCTTACCTTTAATGTTTAATAATTATTTAACAACATTTGTAAAACATTTATTATGCAACAATAACTATAATAATTTCACTCTCAAGTTAAAAGTATATGGCAAGGTCCCGAGTTCAATCCCCAGTACCAATAATAATAATAATAATAATAAAAGTATATGGCAATACAATCTTTTAAATTTTTAATAAGGTTAAGTTTGTGTACATATTTTGAAGCAAAGTTCATATCACACACAACCATTTTACAGTATACAGTTCAGTGGCATTTTGTGTATTTACAATGTTCTGCAACCACCAACTCTCTAGGCTCCAAACCGTTTCAATACCAGCAGCAAACAGTAGTCACACCTGTAATCCCAGCTACTCCAGAGGATAAAGCAAGAGGACTGCAAATTCTAGGCCAGCTGAGGCAATTTACCAAGACCTTATCTCAAAAAATAAAAAGGGCTTGGAATGTAGCTCCGCGGCACAGTGTCAACTAGATTCAATCCCCAGCATCTCAAACAGACAAATAACTTTCTCAATACCTCAGAACACACTATACCTCTTAATCTCTTCCTATCTTCCCCTCCCTGTCAACCACTAATTTGCTATCTCTACAGAATTGATTATTCAGAATATTTCACATAAAAGGAATCATACAATGTGTGATCTCTGGTCCCTGCTTTCTTTAGCATAAAATTTTCAAGAGGCATCCATGCTGTAGCATGTGTGAGTGCTCGAGTCCTTTTCATGGCTGAGTATCACTCACTATGCATATACCACAAACTCATTTACCCATTCATCTGCTGATGGACACCTGAGATGTTTCCGCCTTTTGGCCACCGTGAATAGGGCTGTCATGAACATGTATGTACAAGTATTCCTTGCATACCTGTTTTCCTCCCCCCGCCCCCCCCCATACCAGAGATCGAACTCAAGACCTTGTGCTTGTTCAGTTCTTTTATATATAAACCTAGGAGTACAACTGCTGGGTCAGATGATAATTCTATATTCAAGGATCTGCCAAACTGTTTCTCACAATGGCTTCATCATTTTACATTTCCACTATCAATGTACAGGGTTCCTATTTTCCTACATCTCACCAATTTATTATATCCAATCTGCTGGGTGTGAGATAGTATTTCATTGTGGTTTTGATTTGCATTTTCCAAACGAAATAACAAACATCTTTTCATGTGCTTTTTGAACATCTGTATATCTCCCATATCTTCTGTCCTTTTTTTGAGACAGGGTCTTACTATGTATAGGTCAGGCTGGCCTTGAACTCACTGTGTAGCCTCTGCTGGCCTTGATCTCATGCCGATCTTCCTGCCTCAGATGCCTGATTGCTGGGATTATAGAAGTCTACCATGACACTCCACCTCTCCTCTGTCCATTTTTAAACTGGGTCATCTTTTTTGCTGTTGAACTGTATAAGCTCTTTACATATTCTGATAATAGATCTTTATCAAATACATGATGGTACAAAACTTTCCTCCTGTCTTTCTACTTTCTTGATAATGTCCTTTCATGCACAAAAGATTTTAATTTTTATCAAGTCCAATTTATCTTAACTTGTTTTCTGAATCTATTCTTAAATACTGGTTAAATGTTACTTTACAGCAGTCTTCCCTGACTCCTAGAATAAGTTAAAGCCCCCTGCAGTATAAATACACAGAACCTATCCCCTCTTTTTTGTAAAACTAGTTATACTTATAATTACTGTACACTCCAGTAGGTCAAAGACCTTTCCTTATTCAACAAGTCCTTGCATAATGCTTGGCACAAAGATACTCAATTTCAGCCATAAGTAACACCTATGTAACAAAAATCTCCATAAATTTTCTATGTATTTTCTTTTTTAAAACTTTTTATTTTATTGGTACATTTTAGGTATAAAATGATACTCATCATTGGAAATTTGCACCTTTACATAATCTCTCTTGGTTATTTTTTCCCCTTCCCCTGCCCTCCCTTCAACCCCTCCATCCCTCCCTATTTACAAAGACTTTGTTTCCATTTTTTCCTTTTCTCATATTAATTCCATTCCCTTCTTTCCTTTCCCCTACCCCTCCCACTTCCCCTTCCCTTTTGCCCCTTTTCTTCCTATTTCACATTATCTATTACGTTTTTTAGTCCTTATTTACACTTTCAGTTTCTCACACTAGAGAAACTATTTGGTATTTATGCATGTGTGTCCTATTTCACTTAAGAGTATTGCTTCAATGTGCTTCCATTTAGGTATAAATGTCTTTAATTTCTCATTTTTTATGGCTGAGTGGTACTCCATTTTATTAAAAAACCACATTTTCTTTATCCAGTCTCCAGTTGATGGGCATTTGGGCTGCTTCCAAGTTTTAGCTATTACAAACTGTGCTGCTATGAACATGGGTACACATATATCACTGTGGTATGATTCTTTTTAATTTTGGGGGGAAGATACCCAACAGGGGAATAGCTGGGTCAAATGGCACTTCAGTCCTAGTTCTTTGAGGTATCTCCATACTGATTTCCACAGTGGTTGCACCAGTCTACACTCCCACCAGCAGTGGAGCAGGGTTCCTCTTTCCTCACAGTCCCACCAGCATTTGTTATTGGTTGATTTCATGATAGTAGCCATTCTTTCTGGAGTGAGGTGGAATCTCAGCATTGTTTTCATCTGAATCTCTTGAATGACCAGTGATGTTGAACATTTTTTCATGTGTTTATTTGCCATTTTGACTTCTTTGAGAAATGTCTGTTCATTTCAGATGCCCATTTCTGGATTGGGTCTTTAAATTTGGGAGGTCTGATTTTTTTAAGTTCTTTATAGATTCTAGATAGCAGACCTTTGTATATTCTTAAGTGTCAGAGAGTAAAAGTTTCATAAAATCTGTCAAAAAGGAAAATTCTTTTTAAACTTATGAAATCAAAAGAGACTTTACAAAAGAAAAACTTACCTAAGAGAAATGGGGAAAACCAAAAGTGTATAGTTATGTCCCAGACCAGTGCTTCTCAACCTGAACTACACATAAAAGTCACTTGGGAAATTTTTTAAAATACCAATTTGACTGGGCTGAGGATAGGACTTAAAATCTCTCCAGGTGATTCTAATGTCTTTAAGAGTCAAGAAATACAGTCCTAGACAAAGAACTAAAGAAAATGTATCATAAAGATACATAAAAATGTATCATCTTTATACTCACAAGTATAAAGATGGCTATGGGTAAAAGGGGAGGGGTTTTAAAACAAACTGAAGGGAATTCAACAAATATTTACATAGTGTCAAGAGAATTTTAGTAATAAATGAAAAGCATTTATAATTCATAAGTAAAGAACATAATGTATACAGTATAAATAAAAATATTAGTAAATCAGACAATATGTTGTGAAAATCAAGAAACCCACAGAAAGTTTCATACTATCAAAATATATCGTTTATTCAAATTTATTTACAGTCTACTAAATGCCAGGCAAACTAGGCAAAGGAAACTAAAACCAATAATAAGCAGGCATTTTCTATAAACAGTGTTGAGACAAATGGTATGACAGATGGAAAACAAAACAAATAAATTCCTGTTCCATCTTTTTCTGAATTTTATTCCAGGTAGATTGAAAATATAAATACAGGATGCAAAACTGTTATTTTAAGAAGACAGAACATGAAGATATATTTATTATTTTAGGATAAAGAAGGATTTCTTTTTTTTTTTGGTACCAGGGATTGAACTCAGGTCCT